CTTTTTGAAGTGTCAGGTTAATGTTCCGTGGATGGTTTCTCCCGTTTCAGCCGTTTCTCCCCAGTTTCTTCGGAGTTTCCACTGGCCTTTGGTTGCCTCTCTGGCTGATGCCCTCCTTACCTCATCGCTTAGTTTTGGTGGAAGGCCTCCTCTAGGCAGAGATACAATTCAGCCATATTCTTCCATTTTGTGGTCATGGATTTCAAGGTGCCCTGGAGAATTTCCTAGTTTAAGATAATTTCTTGTAATCCAACCCTGGTTAATGCTACTCTTCAACTTTATCATGGAACTGTTTTGAGAGCTCCTTGGTCTTTTTGATGCTGTTTGTTTAGATTGACTCTCCAACAAACTCTGGGACCATCCAGGAACAGTATTTAATATGAGATCAAGTGGAACTGGAATCGCACACAGATGGATTCCGTTCGGCCTGTTCACGTTGCTCTAGGTTTGGCACTGCAAACGGGGGGAACACTTCTGCAACCAACAAGAGCCAGTTTGTTTTTGTCCCACAATAAAAATATTTTTGCAGCTATACAGTAGTAGCTTGTGTACATTAAATGGCAGCAGTGCCAAGGGGAGCGAATGCTTCTGCCAGGCCCAGTATCTATAAAGATATTTGACTTGAAACAACAGGGTTCCAGAAAGAGATTTTTAAGAGGAATGTCAAATGGGGTGGAGCTGATATAAGGGGAGCCCTCCTGTTTCCGGTTCAACATCATCTTTCCCTCTGTAGTCAAGGAGATGCCATGGGAAGCCAACAATGAGGGCAGGAATTTAGTACGATATGGAGGCTGTTGCAGATGGAGAAGCCAAGTGAAGTCAAGTCCTGCTATTACCATTTTAAGGAAAAGCATGATCTGTGTCCTGTGCATATCTCATTAGACATCAGCTCTGCTGAATTCATTTGGGTTTACTACTAGGTATGTTTATATAGCACTGCAGCCTTGGTTAAGTTCCGGGCAAAGTTCTGTGCATTCTCTCTTTTATTTTTATTATTTTTTGGTATATTTTTATCGCTGAAGGGCAAATCACAAAACTGTTATGTGAAAAGTGGAGCATTTTAAGAGAACATTACTTTCAATTTCTGTATTACAGGCACCTTGAACAAGATTACTCAGTTAAATAAAAAATTGTAGAGTGCAGTGACTGAGACCAAAATACAACTGGGAAACCTAGTTCATATCTGACCTCTGCCATGAATTCAGTGGGGTGGCCCTAGACAAGCCTTTTCCTTGGCTTAATCCCCGCCCCATGTAATATGGGGATAATGTAATGTTGCAAAATTTGCCTTCAAAATTTGTTTAAGAATTACAGGTAATAAACACTTTCAACACTTAGAAACATAGCGAGTCAGAAGGGGTCTCCTGGGCCATCTAGTCTGACCTTCAGCACCGGCCGGCTCCGCTCACGACATGCCCACCATGTGCCTGTCCAGCCTATCTTTGAACACCTGCACCGATGGTGCCTCAACCACCTCCCATGGAAGCCCATTCCACACCCTCAGGGTCCTGACTGTCAGGAAGTGCTTCCTGGCATCCAAATGGAACCTTGGCTCCCTGAGCTTTCCTCCGTTGGAACGCGTCCTGCCTTCCTCCGCAGGGGAGAACAGGTCTCTACCCATCTCCGTGTGACATCCCCTCACATACCTGTATGCCGCCAACACATCCCCTCAGAGTCCCTTCTTCTCCAGGCTGAAAAGATCCAGCTCCCTCAGTCTCTCCTCATATGACTTCCCCTACAAACCAGCCACCCTCCTAGTGGCCCTTCGCTGCACTGATTCCAGCCTTGCTATATCCCTCTTGCAATAAGGGGCCCAGAACTGAGCACAGGACTCCAGCTGCAGGCGCACCAGTCGTATAGAATGGCAGGAATAGCTCTCTCTCTCGATCTAGAAGCCACACTTCTGGCTATGCAACCAAGGGTGGCGCTCGCCCTCTTGGCCACCGCATCACACTGCTGACTCATGTTCAGCCTGCAGTCAACCAGCACCCCGAGGTCCCTTTCGCAAGTGCTGCTCTCCAGCCACTTGTCCCCTAACCTGTACTTATGACACCCATTCCTATGCCCCAAGACCTTGCACTTATCCACACTGAATGCCATCCTGTTGTCTCCTGCCCACTTCCATAGTCTGTCCACTTTAGTATATTAATGCTAACGATTATTTATTACCATTATTATTGCTTGCTGTCACCTTGGGCATGCAATCTCTTATGTACCTTGCTATTCCCTTCTATAAATACCTTTATTCTTTTAGTTGAATTCCAGCACTGTCCCCAAGAGAGAGCCTAAAGCATGTATTGATTATCTGCCTTTTAGTGGCACTTCTCAAAGCTTCTACCAAAATGGCCTGTAGACAAGGTTGATTTTCGATGTGGCGCACGGCTCCAAATATGCCGCCCTTAACAAAGCTGCCCTTTCCTCTTTAGGCATCCCTACTGTGTGCTTTTAGGTTAGATTAGTGTTGCATTTTGAATTATTCTGCCGTGACCGAAAGATCCCATTGTTGTTCTCCTGGCGCTTGTTTTACTGATCCCTCTTTGCCTCTTTGTGCTTTTTTTGGAAGAAGAGTTAAAACAACAACAAACTGGACTGTCACAACAAAACAATGTGAATGCGGAATAATGAAAAATAATAGAGCAATACAATCCTATCTACTGTAAAAATAATATGAAGCATAAAATGATGTCAAGTAAATAAAAATAGTCCAGGTTCCATATTTGACAAGTGATTATTGTCCGGATTTTGCCTCAGTTACTTCTTTGACTTAACTGTTGTCCCAATTCACTTAGGAAATCTCCACACCTTGGTTTAGGATTCTTCTCAGGTTTATAAACATCTCAGTTCATTTTCAGTGCTGGATTTCTGTGGGAGCTGAAATGGTTTTGCTTTATTACTTTATCCTTTACTTCATTTTTCCACGTTAAAAGCCCTCAAGGTGATGTTGCAATAATAGCGATACGCTTTTGAAACAGTCCAATCCTTAAAAACAAAAACAGAATAAAAAGGAGCCACATCAGAGCAGTACTTAATCCTTATTGTATAGTAAAACCTGAGGTGGGGCCACTTCCTTCTTTTGCTTTGTGGAGCTAATCAAAACTAGGCATCTGCTAGAGTTAGATTTCAGTCCTGCTAGAGTTTACCTCCAAGAATAAGGCAGCACATGATTGAATTAAGCAACTCCTTGCTTTGCACATCTTCGCACGAGAACTGTGGGCACACTTTCCCTGAAGTATCATTGCGGAATCTGCTGAGCAGACAGTTGTGCCAAGCTGGCACGAGATGTATGGGCAACACTAGCAGCACATTTCTGTCATCAACTCTTTCTCGAGGAAAGTAATGATTGGAACCGAGTGAAATGCTCGCATTTTCCTGCCTGATCCACATCCTTTTGCTGGGGCTGAGAGAGCTTCCGTACCTGTGCGTGCGTACTGGAAAGCTTTTGGCACCATGTCACTCTGGAGCTGTGGCACATGCCCACCCATTCAAAGCAGGAGTGGGCAGAAGGGGAGATGTGTGAGACTTCCACTCCCAGAAGCCCCTCTCATTACGACCCATGATCAGGAATGCTAGGAGCAGAAGTCCAGAACATCCAATGAGCTGTTAAAAGATACAGTGAAAGACGCTTGCTTGACTGCATCCTGAAGCATTTCCTTTGAAGAAAACACTGACAAACATTGGTGTTTGTGGGCTTTAGAGAGGTAAATGAGGCCAGAGGTGCTTCAGAAAAAGGAAATGGCTCTGGTGGAGAACTAGGCATGGGAGATCCTGGCGAGGTGAGTTCGGCCTGGCAGATTTAATATTCCCAGGCACACAGGGCTGTGTTCCATTTCTCTGTTTGGAATTCATTCTTGGTGGGCAGGCAATTTTTAGAATACTTCCCCTCTCCCACCCCTCCCTCCATGCCAAATGTGAAAAGCAAGGACTCGCACTTCCCCAACTGACCAGCCCCTATCTGAAGTGTGTGAGCATGACTGGAGACTTGTATGATGAAGGAAGCGCACTCCTGCGCAGAGAAAACCAGCATTTCGGAGGAGAAAATGGGACTAAATCCATCTCCCTGACTTGGTAGTCTTCTCTGTGCAGATATGTGTGTGTGTGTCTTTAGCTGTATAGCATTAAGGAACAGTTGCTGGGGAAGGTGAGAGCTTTCCTAGCCTCCCATTTCAGCATTTACTGAACTTGCAATCCTTCATTGGTAAACTAATCAGGCAAAGCATTAACTGCTTAATTCGTAAGGCTGGTTTTAATCAGTGGAAGATTTAACCAAAATCATACTTGGTTGTTGTTTGTGTGTGTACTGGGGGCGGGGGGGGGTGTTATTTTGTAATGCTGTTTGGTCCTGGTATACAATTAGCATTGGGAATGAAAAAGAAGATATAGAAGATGACTTTCTGTCAGGAGTGATAGCTTGTGTTAAATTATACATATCCCTTTATTATCTCAAAGAGTAATCTTTGCGGAGCTTCAGTGAGACAAATTTATTGAAATGTAATTGATCAATTAGGGAAAGAGAGCAGACTTGCTTCCATGCATCGCTTCCTTCCCCGACAGCCTTCCGTCTGCTTGCTTGGTGGTTCGTTCGTTGCATTTCTGTGCCACCCCACAACCAAAGCCCTCAGGGCAGTTCACACAGCCCATAAGTCATATCTTCCTGTTCAAGTTTATTTTGCAAATCCACGCGTAGTTACAGTTTTATTCCCATTTAGTTAAAAGGCTATTTGATGGGATCTGGAGGCAAAGGAGGAGGCTCTCAGCCCGGCAGCCACTGTCCTCCTTATGTCTGGATAAACAGGGACTGTTCTTTGACTCGAAGAAACGCCCAGAATCGTTCATACAAGATTACCAGACTCCCTCCCATGATTACCAAGTTGACGATGACCCAGTGCTGGCTTCTTCAGTTTAGAAGCCATTTTAAGAAGAGATGATGATGATGATGATGATGATGATGATGATGATGCTATAATTTGCACTGTTTCACTTGCTGTGTCTTTTCCTCTTAGGGCTTCTTCAGCAAACGGCTTAAAGGCTCCATCAAAAGAACCAAGAGCCAGTCAAAGTTGGATCGGAATACCAGCTTCCGTCTTCCATCTCTTAGGCCCACTGACGACAGGTAGGAGTCTCCGTGAAAACCTAAGAGGGATGCTGCCCTTCACAGCCAGGCATTTGGCAAGCAGCAGCTTCTGTGCGTACGTGGGGACCACACACAAAACCGAGGAGCAGTCATGCCAAAGCTAAGCTCACTGTTACTTTCTTTTATGAGAAACAAACTCCTGCGGGCCGTTTATGTAGGTGGGTCAAGACCTGTTTTGCCCTGCAGAGGAGGGCAGGACACGCTCCAACGGAGCAAAGCTCAGGGAATCAAGATTGGATCTGGATACCAGGAAGTATTTTCCGATGGTTAGGACCCCGAGGGTATGGAATGGGCTTCCACGGGATGTGGTTCTGGCCCCATCAGTGAGGGTGTTCACAGGTAGACTGGACATGCACAGGGTAGGCATGTCGTGAGCGGAGCCGGCTGGAGTGGGGGGTCAGACTAGATGGCCCAGGAGACCCCTTCTGACTCACCCTGTTTCTATTTAAAAGCCTAGTGAAACCTGCGAGTCCCTTTCACAGGTGCAGCTGTGCAGTTATTGTGACTGGTATGTTTTAGCCATTGCCGTACAGCAATGTTCCAGCCGGGAAAGTGGGAGAAAACCTGCGAGGAGAGCTTCCAGAGCAGCAGCTGTATTAACCTGTTGCAGGAGCATCAGTGAAGAGATCTAGTGGAATACAAGCTTGATGAAGCAGACTGCAGTCCGGAGAAGCCTTCAGGGCGCTAGCAGGCTCTTCATCGGTTTTACCAGAGCAAATACTAGGGCCGTGCGAAGTTGCAAAGGGCTGCAGAATGTTAAAGGAGTTGCTAGTTTTCCATCCTGCATTAGGGCCGTCGAACAGAGAAATTCCACAGTTGCTTGAACTCTGTGTAATTAAAATCTTGTAGAACTGTATTATTTTCCATGTCATTTGTTCCCTGCTTCCCATGTGAGGCCTGAGATCTAAACCTAGTCACGCTTCTGAGGCGACTTAGGATGCAGGTATCCCCAGACAGGCTCCAGGTCCTGGCAGACCTCTTCGGCTTGCAACATCGCTGTGTGGCTGTTTTCGTTTTCTCACTGTTTGTGGTGGTCAGGGGGTGCTGCACCGATCAGTAGCACTATCTTTCATGTTCAAAGTTTAGCTAAATAAAATAATGGTGACAGGGAAGTGTTACAGACATCTAACTGTCTTGTTCATTCTGTACTTTATAGGAAGCCTTTCCTCTGGGCATGATTTCCCATGGATGACATTGCTTTATAAATCACTCTAATCACACTCATGCTGTTTTAACTAGAGGTCTCTCATGAGTCACTGTTTGGGGGGATTAGTGGACCATAAAGATGGATGGCCTTCATTTGTACCTATTCAACAGGGCAGACTTTGGCTAGGCCAGACTGTTCGCTACAATATTGAATCCTGTATATTGAGGCACACTCGGGTTTTTTTTCGTTTTTGGAATGTCCAGCAATTGTAAAGGGAGACAATTTGTTCCTTTTGTGGGTGTTTTGCAAGGACAAGTTGTGGCATTTGGGGCCTGCAAAAATGATTTGTTTGCTTTGGGAACCGATGCGACTTTACAGATTAACGCTCACCTGGATCGCATCGCACAAGCCCGAGCCACAGCTCACTGTGGCTGAATTAAGCCAGGCAAGGTCTGGCACCTGCCTGTCAGTCACAGTTTGTTGTGCTGTACAAACCCAGGAAGGGTAGGTTGTTAGCATGGCTAACAGATCATATAGAACCCTAAAAGAGTCCATCGTGTTTTGGTGGTTTATTAACCATGTTTGTTGGGATTGATTACTGGAAGACCCTGGGACAAGGAGTGACGTGTGAACTGTTCCTGGTCCCCAGCATGCGCATGAAGTGTAGCCAGACGCATTTGATCGGCTTAATCGCTGCAGGAAACATGCAGGGCCTTGCTGAAGGCATGAGAGCAGCACCACCAGGCACTGTGAATTCCTTGCCGGATCCTTGAGATAAAGACGCTCTTGCTCATGTCGAGCCAAGGAATGATTTGCATAAATAACCCACGGCCATTCTTCCCTCCAACAACCCCTGCAGCCTGGGTTTGGATGATGCAGCAGTTCATGGCATTCCCCACCAGGGCCTGAATTTTCGGGATGGCTGCTGGCCCGCACGGCAACTCACCGCAGCTTAAACAAGGCACGGTGGGCTGTGGACTGGCCCATTTCTCTACCAAATTACCACGAACTGAGACAGGAGGGCAGTCGGAAAGGTTATGTGGAGGCTGTTGACCAAAGATGTGGCGGTGGTTTTCTCAGTTCGCCCATCCATTTCCTCGGAGTGGCAGAGCAGGAAGCGATCCGACTGCTGTAGTGCACGCTCAGGATTGGGATATGCTGCTGGAAACATTCCACAGCTGCCATGAGGTGGTCTTTCCCCCGTCACCCCAAAATCTCTCTCCTTTTTGACAAAATGCTTGGAGCTTCGGTCTTTTATTAAGTTAAGCTAGTCAGCCAGGATGGGCTTGGTGATGCAGTGTGAGTGATGTGAAGGTCATTAGCAAGAAGCATCCCTGTTAATGACCCCCCTAACTGTATAATTAGTTCTGTCCATTTCAGGGAGTTGATTGCAAGCTGTTTTCTCCGCCCCGTTCCTCCAACCAGAGGCAATCTGGTTCTCTCGTCTCACACTTGAGAGGCTGTCCTTCCGAAATGACCTCGTCAATTCAACTCCGCATCCCAGACCCTTTTTCTGGTTCAGGTTCGGAGTCTGTGGCACATTGGAATGCTGCATTTTGGGAGAAATAGGCTAATCCCCACACTGCTAATGTGGAAGAGGCACACGTACAGCCTTTGCGCCAGGGGGTTGCGAGAGTTTGGGGATCTTCATTCACAAGGGCTGAGCAGGGCTGTCGGGGATCCGGCGTTGGGGGGGGGGTTCACACACGGAGCCCACTGTAGGTCAGGCAAGAATAGGAACAAGTGGGTCACCAGCACCCTGGTATTTTTCTCCCCGTGCCTCATCCCTCCCGCCATGTTCCCTCCCCCAAATAATTTAGGAAGCACACATGAATGTGCAAGAACCAGGCAGATAAGTGGACGGGGCTAACTCTGCCCTGCTGCCCCTGCTGGGCAGCCAGGAGAGCTTTGCATTAATGTCACCTGCTTGGCTAAAAAGCCTTCGGAACAATACGAAACACGTCTGAGCACACACCTGTCTTTTGTCATCTTGCCTTGATGGAGGATTCAAGTCGCCTACACCCCAGAGAGAATGCGACGAGAAAACCTCAGCAAGCACGTTTTTTATTCATTTTATCCTAAAAAATGTACCCCCCACCCTTCTGAAAGATTTTTCCCAGAGCTCTTTTCCACGCCCAGTATCTTTATAGTTACTAGTCTCCAGCTGCCGGCTGACATGCCTCTTTGCTACAAACACCTTTATTTTTCATTTGAAGTTTTTCCATACCATCTCTCATTAAAAATCGTGACAGTTTGCATTAAAAAAACAATTCGAACAATAAAATGCTGTGCTCGGAGTGAAATAATTTTATTCTGAAGAGACTCTACCTGTTTCAGACATTACTTAGCCTTTGGGTGAGGTAAGAATTGATCTCAGATTGTTCTCGGTGGCCCTACCCTTTCCTTCTGCTCATGTCAACAGCAGCGGTATGAGAAGCCTGATTTGAAGCCGGATAGTTTCTTAGAGAGTTTGTTAGCCAGACCTGAAAGCCTAAGGGCCTTTTCTTGACCTCTGTTCCACTAGAATCTGAGCATCCACAGTGCTTCTGAACAGGACTTCAACACTTCTATAAATCAGCTCAGTTTTCAAGGATTATTCTAAAAATAATGATGAACTTCTCTGCTACTGGGAATGCCAGAAGGGAGGGTTATGAAGGCAGTGGGGAGAGGAGTACAGATAAAGGAAGAGCCAGTCCTGTGTTTATCGAAGTTGTTGAGTAGCCAGGCTGGAGACCATGAGCAATGACACTTGTAGGACAGATGTGCCCGGAATGTCAGAGCTGTGTGCCTTCCAGCTGTTCTGCACAACAAGTAGGGTTAGAAGTTTGTTGTACTTAATGAAAAAGGGCGGCGGGGCGGGGGGGGAATGACTGGGAGAAATTTGTACATTGCTGTATTTTAAAATACAGCGATGGTTCAAATAATGTAGTTAATCATAATAACCCTGTTTGGAATGTTCTTGAAACTGCTGGTGCAATCCATTGATAAGTTTAGGCTACTACTCTGAACATATAACCCCGCAAAAAGAATTAGGCATAATCTAGCCAAAATATGCTCCCTTGTTGGATGTTTATGCTGTTAGAATCGGAGAAGCTGATCTTTTTTCGGGGTTGCCTGGCTATTGTAAACTTGAAGAAAGTATAAGGCCTGGATCATTACAAATAGTTTCATCCTAGGAGATAATCTGGCTATTTAATACTGTTTATTACTGTGCAACAGCTGGTGGTTGAGTGCAGAGCTTTTCTCCTAGCCTCTAGCCTCCGGGTTTTAGCTCAGAGATGTGAGTAACCTGATCCATGGCAGCATTTGCGGAAGTCATTAGAATCAGAGTTTTGATGTGAGGAGGAGAATGTTCCTTCCTGGAACATCTTGTTTTAGCTTAATGCTTTGATTGTGTTTAATATTAAAGCATTTATCTGTGACTCCTTTAATTCTCTAGCTTAATAGCAACATAGTCCGTCTTCGGTTCCAGTATTTCTGTAAATTTTATACTATTGTTTTATGTCTGGTAACTTTCACACTGTCTAACAGTAATAACAATAATAACAGCTACATGTTTGCATTGATACTCCAGATACTTGGCTCTGCTGGAGTTGGGCATGATTAATCTAGATTGCTAACCTATCTTTGATTAATCTTTATAACCAGTGGGTATTCTCTACCAGTGGGTATTCTCAAGTATTTTTCACTAGTGGGAACCCTCAGATGAAGATGAAAATACTTTCTGCCTCTGAAAGTGTATCTTGGTGTTTGCTCTCATTCTGCAAAGAATCCAGGGAAGAGGAGAGGGGAGGGGAGGAAAGAGCTGTGATCCTTATTCTCAAAGAGGATG